ATACGTCAGCTCAACCCATATCATTGTGGGAAAATTCTTCTTCTGTCAGTCCTTCATCACCTTACACGAATAAGGGTGAATACATCTCATACTACTTATTTACTGGTAGTCACGAAAACAATACTTAATTCGAAAAATATGTGAAAATGAATGGATACGTCAGCTCAACCCATATCATTGTGGGAAAATTCTTCTTCTGCCAGTCCTTCATGACCTTACAGGAAATAGGGTGAATACATTTCATTAGTCAACTTTGCCCGGCAGAATCGGTCCGCTCCACCGACGCAGGCCACAATTGCAAGAGACCGCTTCCGGGCGTTAAAGGGGCCGACGCTTAGCAACAGGCCTCACCCGGCAACAGGAGACTTGGGCACCCGATCAGCTGATGCGGTGATGCTTCACGACTGTCTTGTGCTCATCCCAACGCGACTTTTGGCGGAACCGACCGAAGCTGCATGTCATGAGTCGCGATGGGAGGCGTCGCAAGGACGCGATGTACACGAGCCAAGGTGAAATGGCAAAGTATGCCGAAAAGCGTTCCATTTCAGTACTGCAGCCTTCGCGCCGACCGACAAAAGAGGATTTCACTTGAACAAAACTGGAGCCTTCCATGCGGTTGAGGTGAAAGTGTTCGCAGCTGTTCGGTCCATTTGATCAGCGCTTGCTGAACTATCCTCTTTGTTGGGATTACTTCCATTTCGAGTAGAAGTGTTGAAGGGTGAAGAGATTGGAAGATCGGCTCCACCAGAAGACGACGGCGAATTCCTCTTGACCAGCTGGAACATTCATGCTGACGCTGTTGCTGAGGCAATCTCACTCGATTCCGGTGAACAGGTGCTAAGCTTTCGTCCATCATTTGACGGACGTCATCAGAGCGAGGTAACATCGTGAGCTTGAATTTCGTTGTGACGATGTTACCTCGCTTTGAGGATGTTCGTCAAATGATGGACGAAAGCTTAGCACCTGTTCACCGGAATCGAGTGAGATTGCCTCAGCAACAGCGTC